AGCAGTGGTTTGTAGTTCTCCTTGAAGAGGTCCTTTACATCCCTTGTTAGTTGTATTCCTAGGTATTTTATTCTCTTTGTAGCAATTGTGAATGGCAGTTCATTCTTGATTTGGCTCTCTTTAAGTCTGTTATTGGTGTATAGGAATGCTTGTAATTTTTGCACATTGATTTGTATCCCGAGATTTTGCTGAAATTGCTTCTCAGTTTCAGGAGATTTTGGGCTGAGACGATGGGTCTTCTAGATATACTATCATGTCGTCTGCAAATAGAGACAATTTGGCTTCCTCCTTTCCTATTTGAATACCCTTTATTTCTTTTTCTTGCCTGATTGCTCTGGCTAGAACTTCCAGTACTGTATTGAATAGGAGTGGTGAGAGAGGACATCCTTGTCTAGTGCCAGAATTCAAAGGGAATGCTTCCATTTTTTGCCCATTCAGTATGATATTGGCTGTTGGTTTGTCGTAAATAGCTTTTATTACTTTGAGATACGTTCCATCAATACCTAGTTTATTGAGGGTTTTTAGCATAAAGTGCTGTTGAATTTTGTCAAAGGCCTTCTCTGCATCAATTGAGATAATCATGTGGTTTTTGTCTTTGGTTCTGTTTATGTGGTGAATTACGTTTATAGATTTGCGAATGTTGAACCAGCCTTGCATCCCCGGGATGAATTCTACTTGATCATGGTGGATAAGCTTTTTGATGTGCTGTTGCAATTGGCTTGCCAGTATTTTATTGAAGATTTTTGCATCTATGTTTATCATGGATATTGGCCTGAAGTTTTCTTTTCTTGTTGAGTCTCTGCCAGGTTTTGGTATCAGGATGATGTTGGTGTCATAAAATGATTTGGGAAGGATTCCCTCTTTTTTGATTATTTGGAATAGTTTCAGAAGGAATGGAACCTACGTTTCTTGACTCCAAGGCCACTTCCTGGTTCCACTGTCACTTGTTCTCACTTCAATCTTATGCCAGCCACCAACCCACCACTAAAATGCTGAAGGACAAAGAGAGATTTTTCTAAGGCCCACTCTAGGCCTAGGGTCCTGCCCACTGACTCATGATTCAGATTCCTATTCTGTCATAAGGCATCTGTGGTTCACTCTTAATTTGAAACTAACATGAGAAAAAACTGAGACCCACAGATGGATGATTCACACAAGGGCACACAGAACATGTAGGCCTGAGTCTTCTTTCAGCTAGGACTTGAGTGTGTCATACACATAAGAAACTCTGCCCTGGAACCCAGACTCATTGAGTTGTCCTTTCCTCCTAGACATGAATTTGGACCTTTGATGAATGTCAGCTCTACTATTTACTGATTAAGTCACCTTACTGAAATCTTATAAGCCTCAGCATCCTTATCTGTAACACGGTGAAATATAGCATCTCAACTTGGAGTTATTAGATAGAAAGAAGATAAATTTTTTAAAATGCCTAGCACAAACTAGGAACTTCATATAATAATAGTAGTTTTCTTCTTTCCCAATTCCTTGGTGTTACTTCCTGGGGCCTTCTTAGCTGTTGGTTTTTAAACTGTTTCTGCTGTGTTAGTTGAGCCCTGCCAGACTCCCTAGACTCAGCCATTGCCAACTAGGACTTAGCATCTGTGGCCTAGTCATGCAACCTCCAGGATCCTTGGCTACTTGACTTGACATATGTTCACCTATTCCTCTCTACTAGCTATCTAGTCTTATCAGAACCTTATGCCTCTTATCCATTGCCAGTCCAGATTTGGTAACCTTGAGATCTGTGGTAGACACTGTGATGCACCATCCAGATTCTCCTTCAAGGACCCATGTTGCCCCAGTTCCTGGAACTGCACTCAGTAGACAGCCTTCAGCTATAAGCCTCTTCAGGGATTATATGGAGAGCTACCCAGCCAATGTTGTGTTCCTTCCTGGGAATTCCACATCCAATGACTAATTCATATAGGAAGGAGTTTAAAGGCCTGGTTATCTCAGACCAACGTGGGACAATTCTGAGAAGCCATTCTAGCTCCAGAGCTCCCTAAGGGTATAGCAAGGGTACCCTTGATTTTGCATCACAGTTTACTTTTTCCTTCATCTACTCCTACTTTTTTCTCCTCCTTCAGCAGCTTTGAACCAAGGAGCATTCCTTAAACATCCTGAGTGCTAATTTCCACTTCAATTTTTGCTTCATGGAGAACCTGATCTGCTGCAAGCTCCCTCACATTGTACCCAGTAAATAACACTGTTAGTACTGACCTTGACTGACAGACCCTGGATTGTTCCTGCCCATACCTTAGAATAAGAGAGAGTGAGTGAATGTGTGGATACATATATTAAAGAGACAGACAGATAGAAACTTGCTTGTTCTGTTATAGAAGAAGCCAAAGCCATGGGGCCTTCTCATGACTTTCTGCTCCTGGGTTGTATTTCAGTAAAGTCAGTTTTCAATTTGACTTCCATTTCTAACAGCCTCTTTTCTTCTTGCCTGTGTCTTACTCTGACAAGTCCTAGACCCTAAGAGACACAGAATTAAATCAGACCCACTTTCGCTCTGAAGGTATCGTAATCTAGGGTGAGAAGCAGTCATTACACAAATAAATTATAGTATGGACTGACAAATACAAAAAAGAAGTAGTTTCATGGCCCAAGGGAATTGGATCATAATGTTTTTGTGGCAAAGTTGTTATGGTAATTAAATGAAACCACATAGCACAATGCTTGGCACAGAGGAAGCAAATGTTGAATCAAATGATCTTGTTTTGCAGCTTAGGAGATTGAGGTGCTAATACATTGAGTTGCTTATATAAGGTCCTACTGGTAGTTAGCGACAGAGCTGGAATGAGAACCCAATCTCCAGATTTACACTTTATGACTTTCTACAATTATGCACTTTGCCTCAAGAGGCTATAATGTATGTGTGTGTCCCATATGTGAATATTATTTTTAGACCTGAACTTTTGGTCAACTGAGCATCTCCCTCACAGTTTGGATGTACCATAAACCTGGTTTCAGGCTCTGCTTTGCAAGTTCCTTTGCTCTTTGCTGAAATGAGCCCAGCAGCTGAGCAGTATTTCTATTCCCACATTTCATTCCTACTTCAAGCGTAGTGGGATAGTGGAGATGCATCCAACTGAAGCAGCGACATTTATATGAAAAGAATCATTGTGTCCTTTGTAAGGAATAGCACATAGCTCTAAGTCATACCGCTTTCCCATTTGCCTTCTTCTGGGAGGCTCTAGCAAGAGCTTGGTCCATGGGAGGGAGCTGCCTTGAGACCTCATGCTGGAAATTATATTCCATAATTAAAATCAATAGCTAAACAGACACACAGCAGAAAGGCCATAGAATACAACAGAAAACCATTAGATAACATATTGCCATGTATCAAAATAGGTTTTTGAACTTTAACTTAATCTGTGAATGCCTAAAACCACGTGTGGGAGAAAGGCAGTGTGTGCCAAGCTCCAGCTTCACCTGGGAAGGGTTTAGCTAAAGAGAAGCCTTCCTGCTGAAACTCTTAATAGTCCAGATTTTCTAGTCCAGTGGTGCCCCTTTAAACTCTCTGACCACCCTCATGTCATTAGGCCAATGCCAGGTTGCAGTGAACTCCTAGCCCTGGAGAGCTCTTCACAGTCTGTGTCCTGAAACCTTTACCTTAGCCTACTCATTGCTCTATTTCTTACATACCTCTTAGAATCCCTGCTTCCTGACCTATTGCTGTGGCTACACCACACTTTTGCCCTTTAGATATGATGCATGTTACTCTTCTGGCATTATCCTATCCTCAAATCATATCTTTTCTCATATCTCAGGCTGCTCCAGCCCTGTCCTAAATCAGATCAGGCTCTGGGATTTTCTCAGTGCTGCCTTGAATCTTCCATGTCCAGTTTGATCAGACAACAAGGGCTGAGACATAACTACATCTTCTCCACTCCCAATGCATTCCTGAGTGAAATTTTCCTCCCTTTTTCGGATATAACACATGTATTGCAATTTTCTTTATAGCCAGGCACAGAGTGTAGCTGGGAGTTTTTACATATCATGTTTATTTCTTACAGATTGTAGTTAATCCTATACCCTCTCATTTTACAGATGATCTCAGAATGAAGTGATGTGTTATATCATAGTAAGTCAGTAAGTAACAGGGGGCCACAGTTCAAGCCTATATCTCCTCCCTTCCAGATCCATGGTCATCCACTGCAACAAAGCTACCTCTGTCTTGAAGAAGCAATGTCATATCTCCATCACAGCACATATGCTGAATTTTTCAATTGGGACAATCAGGTGGTCCATAATAGGACTGTGCCTAAGTAACAGAATGAAAGACTTTTACCTTGTTAAATAATTGTCTAGAGGCTGGCACGGTGGCTCACGCCTGTAATCCCAGCACTTAGGGAGGCCATGGTGTACAGATTACTTGAGTACAGGAGCTTGAGACCAGCCTGGCCAATGTGGTGAAACCTGGTATGTACTAAAAATACAAAAATTAGCCAGACATGGTGGTGCATGCCTATAATCCAAGCTACCCCAGAGGCTTAGGCACAATAATAGCTTGAACCTCAGAGCTAGAGGTGAAAGGAGCCAAGATTGTGCCACTGCACTCCAACAATCTTGAACAGAGCAAGATTCTTATCTCAAATAACAAAAAAATTATCTAGAGCCAAAGGCTTTCTAATCTTTTCCCCAAACAGTGGTTGTATGACCTTCAGGGGTGACCTCCAGAGAGTCCAGGTGCATCAGTGAATCAGAACCTTGTTTCTTTTAAAGTATATTAGACAAATGTAAAAGCACATATATAATAAGTATACAACCTGATGAATTTTCATGATCTGAGCACATCACTGTAACCAGCACCCAGATTGAGAAACAACGTCACTGTCTATCTCAGAAGCCCTGTTTGTGCTCCCCTTCCATTAAGACTGTCCCGACTTAATCCCACAATTATTTTACCCATTATATTGTTGGTAGGATTTTGGAACTTTCTAATTGTGTATATTATAAATGGTGTTGTAAGAATATTATTCTATGTCTTTTGGTATGCATATGTATGCAGTTCTGTTGGGCCCATATCTAGGAGTAGAATTAGTCATCAAGTATGTATATTGTATGAGTTTCTTATTGCTACTATACAAATTTAGTTGCATAAAACAACACAAATTTATCCTTTTACATTTCTGAAGATCAGAAGTTTAAAATGAGACTTATGGGGCTAAAATCAAATTGTTGGCAGGGCCAGTTCCTTCTAAAGGCTCCAGGGGAGAGACTTTTTTCTTTTCATTTCCAGCTACATAACCCTTACATTCTTTGGCTCATGTCCCCTTCTTTCATCTTCAGAGCCAGCAACATGGCATCTTCAAATCTCTCTCCACTTCTGTCTTTGCATCACCTTCACTCTTAAAAGAAACCTTGTGATTAAATCAGACCCATCCAGATAATTCAGAACAATATCCCCATCTCAAGATCCTTAATTTAATCACAGCTGTGAAATCCCTTTTGTCATATAAGGTAACATTCTCAGGTTCTAGGGATTAGAATGTGGACATATTTGGTGGTGGGGGGGTATTGATCAACTTACCACCCATATGTTCCATTTTATAAATAGTGCCAGTACCACCAATTGACACTTCTGCTGCACTGTATGAGAATTCTGGTTGCTCTGCATCCGTATCAACTCTTGGTCTATTCCATCCTTTTCAATGTAGCCAGAGCTCTGTTTTCCATCTAGCTCACAAAACTATCTGAAAAGTCACACTTTCTGTATCCACAACCATACCCAAGCCCTCTCTTTCTTTAAACACACTTTTCCTCCCCATTGCTATTTCTGAAGAAAATTTTAAAGATGAGCTCTATTCCATGATGAAATGGGCTACCTTATGAAGTGGTAAGCTTTTGTCACTGCATGTATTCAAGCAGAGGCTAAACATTTTTAGGAAAGCTGTAAAGGCAAATTGTATATTGAACAGAGATCCTTTCTTATAACAAGTCAGAGATTTGAAGTTAAAGAACCTAGGATTTGATTTTGGCTCTCTACTTATTATACAACCATGAACAAGTTATTTAATTTCTGTGGATTTCTTAGCTTGTTTTTTATGTTGGAGATATTACATTAGTTGCATTTGCTGTCAAATACTACATTCTCCAAGTCAGCTAGTCATAGAATCACATAATATGAAGATAATTTTTAGCATAGTTACCTATACTTTTATTTATAGTACTGCTTACACTGTACTGTAATGGCATATATTTTCAGTGCTTAGCCAAGTGAAATGTACATGATAGATCTAAAGTGAATTAATAAATCTTATTTCTCTTATACGACTTGTGTGAGAATCTAGTAAGACATTGGCAATAAAAGCACTTTTTAAATTTTAAAACACTTTCAAGGTGCATTGTGTTGTTTTGTCATTATTATCTTGCCAATCGAGGCAGTTACTCTCTGGGTCAGTCACTGAAGCAGACTAGAGCCCCCTTATCAGCAAATAATACTGGGAGGGGACTGACATCTGTCCCATTGGAATTTCTCTTTAAGGAACATGGTGTGCTCTCTACAGGACACTATTTCTGCCTCTCTGAAGAGCAGCCCTAATTAGTGGTGATAATTAATTGTAATCTAAGGACCTCAGAGCAATTTGGGGAGGTGCAAATTACCTCTAGGCTCTCCAGGATTTTATGTCCTTTCCCTTGATGTCTTATGCAGTTTCTCTTCCTGTGAAATAAAAGGAGAAGAAGGCGACTGAATGGAACCAAAACCTAAAGGTCATCTTTACCAAAGGCCTCCTTTACCATTGTCCTTTGAAGAGCAAATTTCAAGTGCCCTTCAGGTAACTGTAAGCAGTTGGGCCTGGCAGAACAGTGTTCAGAAAAGGAGAAAGCCATTCACTCTTTCGTTCCTTCAACAAATATTTGAAAATTTTCTCTCTACCAAGCTCTGTGCTGACAGCTAAGATACAGAGGTGAGCTGATGTGGACCCCATGCCACTGAGTTGCTCACAGTCTACTGGGAAAGACAGGTATAAAAACAAAATTCCAAGGTAGTCTGCTAATGGGGTTAGAAGGAGAAACAAGAACAAAATTGATAATTACAACTTTTATTATGCAGTACTAGTCTAGATGCTTTACATATGTTTAATCTCTATAAAACCACAAAATATGATTTTTTTGGTCAGGTTCAGAAAATGAGGCTCAAGGAAGAAATTGAAAAGGTGGAAGCAAGTTTGTTGAGGCTTTGAAGTAGGGGGAATAATAAGATGCTCCAAGCATAGGACAAACAGAACATTTGGATAGAGATGGCTCTGTTATTGGCCTAAGGAGTTAGCTCAACAGACACGTTCTGGACTTGCCTTGTAAGTCTTTCTCTCTTCACTTCCTGAGTTCAAACCCTCCAAAAATGTTATCCTTTGTCTTAAGGTTTTGAATTTTCTTTTTATTAGTCAGAGTTCTCCAGACAAACAGACCAATAGGATGCATAGATGTTTATTCATTTGTTTGTTTTGGTTTTTTGACTTTTATTTTGGGTACAGGGGTACATGTGCAGGTTTGTTTTATAGGTAAATTGCGTGTTGTGGGGGTTTGGTGTACAGATTATTTCATTACCTAAGTCATAGGCATAGTACCCAATAGGTAGTTTCTCTGTCCTCTCCCTTCTCCCATCCTCTACCCTCAAGTAGGCCACAGTGTCTGTTGTTCCCATCTTTGTGTCCATGTATACTCAATGTATTTGGCATGTATTTGGTTTTCTGTTCCTGTGTTAGTTCTTAGTACTTAGATAATGGCCTCCAGCTCCATCCATGTTGCTGCAGAGGATATGATTTTGTTCATTTTTATGACTCCATAGTATTCCATGATGTGTATACACCACATTGTCTTGATCCAGTCTACCATTAATGGGCCTTTAGATTGATTCCATGTCTTTGCCATTGTGAGTAGTGCTGAGACAAACATATGCATGCACGTGTTTTTATGGTAGAATGATTTATATTTGTTTGGGTGTATACCCAATTATGGGATTTTTGGGTTGAATTATAATTCTGTTTTATGTTCCTTGAGAAATCACCATACTGCTTTCCACAATAGTTGAACTATTTCCATTTCCACCAGCAGTGTATAAGAATTTCCCTTTCTCCACAACCTTGCCAAATTTGTTATTTATTTTTTTTTACTTTTTAATGATAACTATTCTGACTGGTGTGAGATGGTATTTTATTGTGATTTTTATTTGCCCTTCTCTAATGATTAGTGATATTCAGCATTTTTTGGTATGCTTCTTCATGTCCTTTAGCCAGTTTTTCGATGTGGTTGTTTGTTTTTTGTTTGTTAATATGTTTAAGTCCCTTGTAGATTCTAGATGTCAGACCTTTGTTGGATGCATAGTTTGCAAATATTTCCTCCCATTCTACAGATTGTCTGGTTGCTTTGTTGAGTCTTCTTTGCTGTGAAGAACTTCTTTAATTTTTCCCATTTGTCAATTTTTGATTTGTCACAATAGTTTTTGGCATTTTTGTCATGAAATCTTTTCCAGGACATAGGTCCAGAATGTTATTTCCTAGGTTATCTTCTAGAATTTTTATAGTTTAGGTTTTACATTGAAGTTTTTAATCCATCTTGAGTTGATTTTAGTATATGGTATAAGGAAGAGGTCCAGCTTCAATCTTTTGTGGATGACTAGCCAGTAATCCCAGCACCACTAATTGAATAGGGGTCCTTTTCTCATTGCTTGTATTTGTCAACTTTGTCAAAGATTAGATGGTTGCAGGTGTGCAGCTTTATTTCTGGGTTCTCTGTTCTGTTCCATTGGTCTATGTGTGTTTCTGTACAAGTACCATGCTGTTTTGCTTACTGTGGCCTTGTGGTATATTTGAAGTCAGGTAAAATGATGCCTCAAGCTTTGTTGCTTTTGCTTAGGATTGCCTTGGCTATTTGAGCTCTTGTTTGGCTCCACATGAACTTTAAAATAGTTTTTTCTAATTCTGCAAATGATGTCATTGGTAGTTCAATAGGAATAGCATTGAATCTATAAGTTGCTTTGGGCAGTATGACCACTTTAACAATATTGATTTTTCCTATCCATGGGCATGGAATATTTATCCATTTGTTTGTATCTCTGATTTCTTTAAGCAGTGTTTTGTAATTCACATCGTAGATGTCTTTCATCTCCCTGGTTATTTATATTCCAAGGTATTTTATTCTTTTGTGGCTGTTGTGAATGGGATTGCATTCTTGATTTGCTTCTCAGCTTGTACATTGTTGTTGTACAGAAATGCTACTGAGTTTTGTACATTGATTTTGTTTGGAAACTTTGCTGAAGTTGTTTGTCAGATGTAAGAGTATTTGGAAAGAGACTATGGGATTCTCTAGGTATAGAATCACCTAGTCTGCAAACAGGGATAGTCTGACTTCCTCTCTTTCTATTTGGATGTCTTATTTTGTTCTCTTACCTGATTACTCTGGCTAGGACTTCTAGTACTATATCGAATAGGAGTGGTGAGAGTGAGCATTCTTATCTTGTTCTGGTTCTCAAAGAGAATGCTTCCAGCTTTTGTCCATTTAGTATGTTGGCTGTATATTTGTCATAGATGGATGATTATTTTGAGATATGTTTCTTCAATCCCTATTTTGTTGAGGATTTTTAACACGAAGACATGTTGAATTTTATCAAAAGCCTTTTCTGCATCTATTGAGATGATATAGTTTTTATTTTGACTCCTGTTCAAATGGTGGATCATATTAATTGATTTGCATATGTTGAACCAACCTTGCATCCTAGGGATAAAGCCTGCTTGATCATGGTGTATTAGCTTTGTGATGTGCTGCTGGTCTTGGTTTGATAGTATTTTGTTGCAGACTTTTGCATCAGTGTTCATCAAGGATATTGACCTGAAGCTTTAGTGTATGTGCATGTATGTGTGTGTGTGTGTGTGTGTGTGCACACGTGTGCATATCTGCCAAGTTTCAGTGGCCAGGATGATTCTGGACTCATAGAATGAGTTAGAAAGGAGTCCTTCCTCCCCAGTTTTTTGGAATAGTTTCAATAGGAATTGTACCAGCTTTTCTTTATACATCTGGTAGAATTTGGCTCTCACTCTGTCTGGTCCTGGACTTTTTCTGGTTGGTAGACATTTTATTACTGATTCCATTTCAAAACTCATTATTGTTCTGTTCAGAGATTCAGTTTCTTCCTTGTTCAATCTTGTATACATATTTCAAGAAATTTATACATTTATTGTAGATTTTCTAGCTTGTGTGTATAGAGGTGTTCATAATAGTTTGAGGGTTTTTTTTCTGCAAGATCAGTGGTAATGTTTTCTTTATCATTTCTGATTGTGTTTATTTGGATACCTTTCTTCTTCATTAGTCTATCTAGCAGTCTATCAATCTCATTTTTACTTTCAAAATACCAACTCTTATATCCACTGATTTTTTGAATGTTTTATTTTCCATCTCAATTTCCTTCCATTCAGCTTTGAATTTGGTTATTTCTTGTCTTCTGCTAGCTTCAGGTTTGGTTTGCTTGTTTCTCTAGTTTCTTTAGATGTGATGTAAGGTGGTTAGTTTGAGATATTTCTAACTTATTTGACGTGAACATTTGGTGCTGTAAACTTCCCTCTTAACCCTGTATCAGCTGTGTCCCAGAGATTCTGAGATGGTGTATCTTGGTACTCATCCATTTCAAAGAATTTCTTGATTTCTGCCTTAGTTTCATTGTTTACCAAAAAGTCATCAGAGCAGGTCATTTAATTTTTATGTAATTGTATGGTTTTGAGAAATTTTCTCAGTATTGATTTCTATTTTAATTGTGCTTGTATTCAAGAGTGAGTTTGGTATAATTTTGATTTTTTTTTTTTGAGATGGAATTTCACTCTTGTTACCCAGGCTGGAGTGCAATGGTACAATCTTGGCTCACCGCAACCTCCGCCTCCTGGGTTCAGGCAATTCTCCTGCCTCACCCTCCTGAGTAGCTGTGATTACAGGCATGTGCCACCATGCCCAGCTAATTTTTTGTATTTTTAGTAGAGATGGGGTTTCACCATGTCGACCAGGATGGTCTCGATCTCTTGACCTCGTGATCCACCCACCTCAGCCTCCCAAAGTGCTGGGATTACAGGCTTGAGTCACCGCACCCGGCCTAATTTTGATTTTTTTAAAATTTGCTGAGGATTATTTTTTTTATTTTTATTTTTTTTAATTTTTTATTGGATTATAGGTTTTGGGGTACATGAGCAGAGCATGCAAGACAGTTGCGTAGGTACACACATGGCAGTGTGCTTTGCTTTTCTTCTCCCCTTCATCCACATTTGGCATTTCTCCCCAGGCTATCCCTCCCCACCTCCCCCTCCCACTGGCCCTCCCCTTTTCCCCCAATAGACCCCAGTGTTTAGTACTCCCCTTTCTGTGTCCATGTGTTCTCATTTTTCATCACCCACCTATGAGTGAGAATATGCGGTGTTTCATTTTCTGTTCTTGTGTCAGTTTGCTGAGGATGATGTTTTCCAGATTCATCCATGTCCCTACAAACGACACGAACTCATCATTTCTGATTGCTGCATAATATTCCATGGTGTATATGTGCCACATTTTTCCAATCCAGTCTATTATCAATGGGCATTTGGGTTGATTCCATGTCTTTGCTATTGTAAACAGTGCTGCAATGAACATTCGTGTACATGTGTCCTTAAAGTAGAACGATTTATAGTCTTTTGGATATATACC